AAGAAAAAATAGCTAGATGAAGGTTTGATCTAGGTCAGTGCTAGGGTTAGTGGTTGGGTCAAGTAAGGGTCAAAGGTTAAGGGTCAATGATCGGGGTCACAGTCAGTATATTTTTGGCAGGATTTTTTTTAAAAAAGCTTTTTTTAAATTACTATCAGTGTCAGTGTGTAGGATAAAAAAAATCAAAAGGAACACCATTGTTTCTGGGCTGTGCTACGGATTCAAACAACTAACATACACATATGTGGTATCAATGTGATCATCAGGAGCTGGAGAATTTATTTTGGGTTCTTTGGTGGTAGGTTATGGTAAGCTCTAACCATTAACACCTGCGCTAAAAGCCCCTTATACTCCAGCAGCTGTATTGCATACAATATGTGCTTACATCTATGTTACTCACAGTGTACAGCGCTCCTATAACCAATCATATACAAATGATTCACCTCATATAAAAATTAAAATACATAATTCACAAGCTCATTAAAGTGAAAAAAAAAAGTCCACATAAAGTGTAACTTCTCTACTCTCATATTATGTATAAAGTGCTTCATTCGAAATTGCGCAAATTATATCTTCTCTTCTGCCATATAATTAAAAGTGCTCTATGAAGAATAGTGCAAACAAGAGTTCTTTATGTCAGTACTGCCTTCAGTGCTTCACTTCACCACCATTCCGGAAAACTCACCAGATAACCATGACCTTTCACTTAAGAGTTGGTCTATAAGCGCTTTTTCCCCAAGGGGTTATACATCCAGGAATCCACCTCTTCTTGCTCACAGTGTCACCAGGGACATCATAAAATCAGAGGGGAAAGTGGCTCCAATAATGTAAAACCCCTTTATGAAAAAACAATTTGTGCAAGTACAAAAAAAACCCCATCAGTTTATGCGCTCACATTAGCCTGTGCATTCCGCCCTGCACCCAGGTTAAACAGCCTACTATTGTGAGGGGTCGGCTGCACTACAGTTTAGTGCAAGCCCGGTCCATTCTGCCATTCAGGTGTTCTCACCAATTGCGGGTGTCTCCGCCGGTATGGAACAATGTCAGTTCCTGTAGCTTCACTTCTAGGTTATGGTAGTAGCAAGAAATAGACAGCTATATTTAAGCATACATTTTTTACTATTTTGGGCCAGTTTTCCTTTGGTAATAAAAATAAAATCATGAGATATCCATGACCAATTTACAAACAAAAGAAAGTTAAAAAAACAAGGTATAATCCACCTGGATACAAAAAGTAGTAATGATACATACGGTTTTACTAACACATGTCAAATTTGAAAAAATTGTTCAGGCATTAGCACTTGTTTTATCCTCAGTTATTAAGAAGTTAATGCAGAGAATGCATTAAGGTAAAAAAAAAACTGATATCCGTTAGAACCACTTTAGGGCACTCAAAGACTTGTTAGAACCATGTTCATTTGTCTTTTACTCGTGACAGATTCCTCAACAAAATATGTTCCATAATATGAACAACATGACAATGCCTTCTCACCGTGCTATAGATATGGAAGTGCAGTGTTGTCACTCTAGAACAGGACTACAGCAAACTTTCCTCTCCTCTATGACAGAGAGAAGAGGTGCTCTGTAGTCTCCAGAGAGACCTAAGAACTATGATACCTGATGACACTTAGCACATGAAGTTATCAGCTCACAAGATTCATGGCAAGATCAACAGTTTTTTTTTTTCACTCCCTGAACAAATAGAAGAAAAATGCTATCATAAGGAAAGATTAAAGTGGAGCTCCAGTCCCCCTAATAAATTTTTGGTAAAAGCAGATCCACGATGACCTTTCAAATAGCATTAACAATTGGAATAATTCAATAGTAAAAGCATTGTAATTACTTAGTAATTATTCAAAATTTACCATGATCTTGGAAGCAGGCAGGCGCCATGATGGCGGTGGGCATCTGAAGCCCACAGGTATTTATTTCAGGGAATCAGTGCTGTTGGCTATCCCAGCATGCACCACTCGTTCTCGTGCCTGCACAGTACAGACACTGCTCGGCGCGATGTACACACTCTGCAATTCCAGCATAGAGCACAGCGTAGGACGCAGCAGGATACAGCATCCACGTCTTCGTGTAATCTGGACTCCGGTAAAATGGCGCAAAACTCCTCCCATTTGCGTCATTTCCGATTACAGGAAACCAAAGGACTCCTGGGATACAGGAAACAACATCCCAGGAGACCTTGCAAATCGCCTTACAACGCCATCGCCTAAGCAGCCGTGACCGGAACTGCAGGCTTGCAGTGGATTTAAAAGGCATGTATATTAAAAAGAAAAAAAAAATATCCAACTTGTTCTTTATTTCACAGGGACAACATAATCAGGTAAAGTATGAAAAATGGGTGGAACTCCACTTTAAAAGGGACACAATTAAAAAAAGTTAATTATTAGTTTTAAAGCATATGGAAATGCTAACTACAACACAATAATTCCTAAATTGTATAATGCCAACATTTGCCTTCAATATTTTGTAGATTTGGAATATTATTATCTTTATAGTCAGGACTGAATTGGCCTGTGCTGATAAATTATTTGTATTACCCACTGGTAAAATGATCATTTACAGGGCATAACTGTGGTACTACAATCAGTAAAAGAATTCAACATGTTTTTTCCCTATAGAAAGCATCAGCAAAACACTTTACAGAGACTAGAATTGGATTCTGTCTACAACACATACAAAAAACGTACATACTGACTGTATCTCTCTTGGAAGCAATATGAAAGATGCAACTAATCACAACACAAAGGTGTCAAACTTCATATCTACAGTCTGATCACAAATAAGAAATGTCTTTGGATATTTTTTCCTTCTCACTTATAGCCCTTCTGGCTGTCTACTAGGCAATAAATACCCAAGAAGGAATAATCCTGCCCACAGGCTGATTCAGTTCATTTTAAGTGACTGCTAAAATTTATACAGAGAACCTGCACTTTGGAGACAGAAGCAGTAAAACTCAGAATTATCATGACTGCGTTAATTGAGAGGCCTAATGAGATTGGGAAGGATTCCAGATTTAACTGTAACAAAATATAGCAATGGATTTCCTGAGTTAATTATCTGGGTATTAGCTATTGTGTTACTGTAAATTGGTGATTCGAATCATACAATACTTATGACTGTGAATCCGTCACAAAGCAAATAACTCTCAAATCTGATGGAGCAGCTACATGCTGAAGCATGTAAAGATGTGAAAAATGTCACTGCTCAAAAAACAAGTAGGTGACCTCATAGTCCAGTACCTGATCATTCCATATGGAATAGGTTTATTCCTTAAATTACATGAATTGATGTGGTTCTTATTTCATATGGTTACCCTACCAATCACCTCTGTTTGGTATTTCTTTTTCATTAAAGCCCAACTCCACTTTATTTTTTTTAATTAGAAATAAATTACCCAGCACGTGTTAAAATATAAAGAGCAGCTTTTTCTGCAATACTCACCTTCTCGCAAACTATGTTCCTAAGAGACTTAATACTCTGTCCAATGACGCTCCTCTTCCGTGCTGAATGGTGTTCATCATCATCTAACCCACTTCCTGTGAGCCTAAAGCCCAGTACACATGGGCAGAATATCTGCTGGTACCAGGTGGTTCAATAGAAACCAGCTGACATTTGACCCATGTATTCACCAGCCTGTCCAACAAAACCTTGCCAAATGGCCTGCTTCTATCAAACGGGCATCCTGGAAAACCAGCATCCAATTGGCATCTGATCAGTGTTGGCAGCCAATAGCTGTGAACGCTGACTGGTGTATTCTGGCAGGGAGGCAGTCCCCCTGTCAGAACACAATAGCTCAGTGGGGAGATCGCTGTACTAACATAGGATAGTTAGTACAGCAAGCTCCTCCTGAGCTCTTCTGTTTTGTTTGGTTCAGCCTGAAAACAGTGCTCACATATTGTTACATGAGTGTACAAAATACTCCCCAAGAGTAAGGACCGCACCAAACTAGATGAGGGGAACCTGTGACATTATGGGACCAGTCTGAAGGCTTTCAGATTTGAAGTATGTATGAGTTTTTATTTCCCTAATAGGTAGAAGGAAATGCTGCAAGGAAAGGGTACACAAAAGCTGGAATTAGTTTTTAATTGGCCCGTTTTTATAATTGTCCTTGTACTTTCTAATACTCTTTATTATGTTATAAAACAAATAAAATTACCTGAAAGGGAAATTTTACCAATGACCATGCAGACAAGCAAAATCTGACAGAGGTTCAGAAATCTATTCAACCTTTGAGGAATAGAACATATATGAGGTTTGACAAATTAATTCCCAGAATGGACTGTAAAAAAAATATCAAACACCTCTGCATTCTTCAAAAGATCGGATGAAATTAGAAGACAATGTTCTTTCTGATCTGCTGTTAAAATGCGAAGCACCAACTTTGCAGAAATATTTCTCATTCCCAAAGATACTGTTACAATCTGCCGCACTGTTTCCCTGTTCATTTTCAATTCCTCTGCCATCATTCACACATTCAATCTTCAAACTGAGCATACAAGGGTTCACACCATGTCAATATTTGCATCCATCCTTTGCATTTTTGGCTGCTCACTTCTTGCGTCATAGTGGACATCTTCCCTCCTCTCATTTAACTGTCTATGCCATTCTAAAACACTTGATTTCGTCATGGAATGTTCACCATAATGTTTTACTGGCACTTTTACCAATTTTCCCGCAAAATGTTATGTTAATCTGCTGCTCCAGATTCCTGTCACTCATTTTTAGCAACAGTGCAACACACACGTAAGTTATTTCTTTTACTACTCCATAAAGACTGAGCCAACTGGTCTGCAACCCAGGCGAGTGCGAGTTAGAACATTTCTGAGCAAGCTCAAGTGAGAATGGCTGTGTGACTCACCACCATTGTGCTATGCCATGGGCATTCCAGGAATTACATTATCACACCTCTTAAAGTAGAACCCAAGAATAATAATTGTGCCCTTGAACGAAAACCCTAATTTGTATTTGAAATTCAATATTAAGCTGACCTGCTCAACCACTGTTATTGTCACAGGGACCTCCAATACTCCAGTTTCTTTATCAAAAAATTCAGCAGCATCTTCAAAAAGAGAGTGTCTGAAAAACAAAAAAATTATAAATGTCACCAACAAGGGAACAAACGTCAGAATTCTTAAACTAGACAATCAAACACGCACTATATACAGTACTCAGCATTAGTGAGTACACCCCTTTTGAAAAGTAAGATTTTAATCAATATCTCAATGAACACAAGAACAATTTCCAAAATTTTCACAAAACTGAGTTTTATAGGACATTTGTTTAGCTCATTACATGGAAGTAAGGTTAATAATATAATTTAGATTACAAAATCTTCAGGGTTTTTTTTTATTTATTTAGACACTGTACATTTACAAGGAAGTACCATCACACAGTAAGCAATATGGGTGAACATAAACTTCACACAAAACATTTACTAGCGCATTATGACACAACATGCCACAGTATTCCAGTAACCAGGAACGGTAGGTTAGATACAAATTGTCCGTTACATAAACTATTATAACACCACTGATACTAGAAATGTAGGGTAATGAACCTGAAATACACATAGTCTAGCTCAAACTTCCTTATTTTAAAACAAAAATTTGATCCCTCACATCTTGGGACCATAAAAAGACAAAAAAAAAGTGCGTAGAAAAATTTTGTATCTTGACTCTCAGGGAAAGGAAAAAAAGGGGGAGGGGGATTGGGAATGAAAGGGAAGATGCCAAAATGGGAAGAAGAGATGAGACAGAGAGGACGGAGTGGGAACACACTGACAGTACTGGTAGCAGATCTGGTGGATGGAGGGACAGAGTGGCACAGGAGCCCCTCACTTCTTCTACTCCTCTCACATAGGACCTACCAAGTCAAGGGGTTCAAAGTTTAACCTCCAGAAGGTTATGCTGAGAAGGACTCAATCATGCTCAGGGGAAGCGGGCACAACGTCCAGGTATTGTGCCGAGCAAGTGTACATCGTCTAAGGCTTCCATGTTTCCCAAAATACATCTTCCTTGTTGTTAAGGGAGGCAGTACAAACTTTCCATAGAATTAATTTCATTCAACTTTGCAAACCAATGACCCATGGATGGGGGAGAGGTTTGCTTCCACAGATCTGGAATGCATGCCTCAGAAGACGAACTGTCAGGGAGCGTCTATAGCAACGTAGCAGTACCGAGTTGAGATGAAGGAGGTAGGCCAATGGGTCTGTTCCCAAATCCACTGAGGTCAACTGCGAGATTAAGTTCCTCACTCCTGTCCAGAACTGATACAGCAAAGGGCATTGCCAGAAGACATGCAATAGAGTGCCCTCTTTCTTCTGATAGCGCCAACACAATCTGGAGACTGAGGGGTAGAACAGATATCTGTTGTCATCGTCCACCACAAATGTCTATGGAAGAGTTCAAGCTACCATAATACTTACTCCCTTTGGCTTCGGTATAGGGTAAGTGCTGTGATATGCTACAGGGTACGTATGGCTAAATAGCTTGGGCACTTTCTCCCCATGGAAATGTGTCTCCTGTAGGAAGACCACCTGGCTCCGCAACTTAACCAAGTCACGTAATAATCTTGTTCTCTTTTTTGGGAACATTCAGGAACATCGCTGTGGTTTCCCCCATCTGTCCATCTCCCCTGGCCTCATCTCAGAAAAAAAAGGGGGGGGGGGGAGGTTTACGCTGAGGTAACAACACTAATAGGCAAATATGCCTACTTGCCTCAGCGTCTACAAAATAGAGATATACGCTACCTATCTAACCCAAGGGGATCGGGAGGGCCCTATGGGTGGATAGAACCATGCACTGGCACCAGGAAAGTATAAAACAAATGCCAGCCCCCCCCCCCCCCCCGCGTACTACCCAAGGGCCACCGAGTAAAACATGCTACATAACACACAATATAACCAGCAAATAATGACCAACAACCTTATACTCTCCATGAAGAAGCAGCCTTCAAGAAGGCATGGGAAGACAGCCATCACCAGGGGCACCACCAGTCCCCCCCTCCCCCTCCCAGTTAGAGTCCCACCATAGTTTTTCAGTTCTTGTCTCCCCATTGCATCATGTGTTATCAGCACTGAGACTGCCATCGTAGCCCATGCATAACTGATAGAGGGTTCCCACGAGTATGGCATATACAAAGGAAGGAGGCCCCATATTGCCTACCAGTAACCATCCCATAGTAGTATTAAATTCAGGGGTCCCCCCCAGGAATAGATATGTGAGCTGTGGGAACTCTCCAAATCAGCCATCCACCCACAGAGCTGTGGGAACCCAACAGCAGAACTGTGGGAGCGCTCTAAATCAGCCATCCAACAACAGACATGGTGGACCTCTAGAGATACATGTAGCAAAATAATCCAGCTCAGCCGAAACCTCCTATATGATATCAAACCTGACATGAAGGCACTCCAGTCACCGACCATGAGTTTCTCCTTGATTCACAAGGGTCATTAGTAGTGACCGTCTTCCTTTATGATCTCTGTGTTCAGAGCTCTGGTTCTGCAGGCCTTGGAGACCGACGAGAGGTGGAAACATTTCTTGATCTTGCACAGCACACTCGAGGTGGGTGAGGAGCCATAACGGAGGGAGCCCGACTGTCATCTGGCTACTCCAGACAGTCTGGAACATCCACCGGGGTAATTTCCAGGAATTGAAAAAGATCAGGCAGCTGAGAAGGGGTATGCAAAACAAACGATTGGTTTTGCTTGTTGATGAGAATATGAAAGGGGTATCCCCATCTGTAGGTAGCCCCCGCAGCTTGTATCACCTCCAGCAGAGGGTGCACCATGCCCTGCATTCGCTTGGTATGTCAAGAAAGGTCCAGATAAATCTGAATATGCGGCCCGGCAAAGTCCAATGGGCCCTTTTGCCATGCCTTATGAAGAATATCTTCTTTTATGGTGTATAAGTGGACTCGGCATAAAACGTCCCTAGGAGAGTCTGGGCCTCCAGATCTGGACAAAGGAATTCAGTGTACTCTAATTCCACTCCGTATCAGGGGCCTTGCCCAGAATAGTGTTACAAATAACCCGGATCATGGTTCTAAGGTCAGCACCCAAGGTAGATTCCAGAATTCCCCTTAAAAAAAACGCAGATCGTTTCTCCGGCTACGATTCTCTGCATCCTCTGGGCGGAGAAGAATGGTAATAAAGCGGGAGGAGGCACAATATTCCTCTTGCTTCTTCCAGGAAGGAAACCCTGGCATCCACCTGAGATAACTCTTGCCTGACCTCTGATATCTCCTTCTGCGGAGCACCTTCAATCCTCTGTACCATAGATACCAAGTCTGTTCTAGAGGGGAGGGCCTCTATGTCCTGCCTGGTAGGTAAGGCCTGGAGGATGGATCTGAGCTCAGAGTCCATGGCCCAGTGTTCCTTGCCTGATTTCTGGGAGGGCTCTGACTTAAATGGGGAGGGTTCCTTGGTTAGCCATGGGGTAGGGATAGGGGACAGCAGCATCGGGATGTACGCCACGCTCTGCAGGAGGCTCAGGTCTGATTTCTATCATAGGTTGCTCTTCCCGTGCTGTGTGTGCAGCCTAGCATCTGGGCGCCATCCTGGCCGTGCTGCGGGTGCCGCTGGAAGACATGGCTGGGGAGAGATACCTGTGGATCCCCGCCGTGCACGGTGTCCTGGTGTGCCCAGACTGTCTCCAGCCCCTGGTTATGTGAGTGTCGGCTCGGTCTGCTGTAAATAGCCCTTAGGGTAGCCACGGAGGATCGGAGCTCTCGGGATTAGCAGCCACTCAGCCTCATGAATTGGACACGCGTCCCCAAAATCTTCAGTTTTACTCAAATTAGTTGATGCAAACATGAATACATCCCACAACAAAAACTACTACATCTAGTATTTTGTATGATCTCCATGATTTGTAAGGTCAGCACCAAGTCTTCTAGGCATGGAATGAACAAGTTGGCAATACATTGCAACATCTATCTTTTTCCATTCTTCAAGAACAACCTGTTTTAAAGCCTGGATGCTGGATGGAGAGTGCTCAACTTGTCGCTTCAGAATTCCTCATAGGTGCTCAATTGGGTTCAGATCAGGAAACATACTTGGCCACTGAATCACAAGACTAGCTAAACAGATTTACAAAATCTCAAAAATATTGGAGGTTGGGCCGACCCTATATATTTGTATTTCAGTGGGAATTTGTCCATTTGCCGATAGCATTACCCACTTCTAGATCCATTAACAAATTTCATCAAAAGCCCAACTAAAGCCCAAACTTTTTGTTTAGTTTTGGATACAGTGGAGAGGGATCAGGACACCTATCAAGTTTTTATTGTTTGTAACAAATCCATCTAGCACCCAACCCTTACTTGTATATGTTGGAAATGCATAGCTAACAGTGATACTGTATAATAGCTCAAACAAGAAAAAAGCCAGCACTTAATCAGTAGATCCCAAAATTTTAACGAGGTTATATTGAAACAATGACAGCAACATGTGCAAAAATAGGCATAATACATCACCAATGTTTTTTTTGTTGTTTTTGTCTTTTATCAAGGTGACAGACAGCATCTTTATTGCTGTCTGTAACACCACTGAGAAGATTTTCCCTTTCAATTTGTCCAGGTGATCATTACCACATAAAGTAAAAGTGAAAGAAAATGTGCCACCAGCAAAAGCAGTAGAGGGGAACTCTTCCAATGGGGACACTAGATCTGGTGAACCTAGTGACAACCTGGAATTTCCATCACTTTGGAAGGATGTTCTCTCAATCCCTGTTGTGCCTATGGAACAAGAAGTAAAGAGAAATCTCCCCAATGGGACAGAGATGGCAAAAAACAAAACAAAAACTGAAGCAAAAACAAAATGTTTTGGCTTTATTTGCACTTTAAATACTCCACCTAATTGTCTTTGCATTGTGCTGCACTTGGAAAAATCCCTGTGCTAAGCGATAAATTCCTATTCGTAAACTTGATACACACATATGAGTTTAGATTTACTGAGCATTAAACTAAAAGCATTCATTTTTAAGGAGTAATGATTTTGGCTTCAGTTGTTATGCCACCTGCTTATGGTGATGTACAAATTCAACCTGCATCCAAAGTTAATTAAACACACATACGCC